ATTTTAGAATAAGGAAAAATATTCGTTCCTCAGGATGCTACTACTGGTTCCTTGTACAGCACTGGTTTAGAGTCAAGTCCTTCAGACAGCTCAGTGAATAAATAGTATTTCAAAGCCAAATATTGAAGCCAAGGCCATAGACCTTGTATTAATCTGGAAACAGCTTTACAGCACCTCCCCCACCCCACCAGAATTAGCACTACTGCTCTCTAACCAGGTGACTTAGTTCACATTTCAGACAGTAGGAATAGCTAATAATACAGTCTTTTTTTAAAATCCTCAACCAAGGATATGTTTATTGATTTGAGAGAGAGGGAGACAAACATTGATGTGAGAAACATCAATCAGTTGCACTTTTGGTGTATGGGATGAAACTTCAACCGAGCCACCAGCCAGGGCGGCATTTTTGTTGTAGTGTCACCACCACCACCACGCCCCACCCAGAACACAATGATGTGGAATTCGATGCTGTTTGTGTTATAGGTAATGTGGAATCATCTCTAGAGTCATTTCTCTTGAAGAAAAAAATCCTCACACACCTGAGTTGTAACCAAACTGTTTAATCAGTTGCTCAGTTTATTTCCAAAATTATCATATATCCCTGACATCTATTATGTGGCCTTATGCTTATGACTTCTGCCAAGTTTAAGGGCCTCAGAACTGAATATTTTAGCAGAATGTGTTTGTGTTTGAAAAACGTGTCATTTTCCTCCAAACATGTCTCATATTTCTGGGCTATGCAAGAATAAACATTTTCCTTTGGATCAGAATATACCAATGTCTCAGGGCTGTTGTTTGGATTAATGTCACCAAATGGTATCTTAAATTTGAGTATTTTTTGCCCCTCTTCAGTTTTTAACTTTATGGAGAAGGTCAGTTTCATTGGGAAAGCTAATGAGACCTGTGAACCTTCTTTCCAAAGTCCAAACTTGAAAGGGTTCATGAACCGTGGTTCAGGAAACTTTGCTCTAAAAAAATCAGTGGTATTGCTTACAAACACAAAAAAAGATAAAGTGCAATGCTATTGGAGGTCATGAACACCACAAAGAATATATAGCCTCACTGGTTGGCTGTCTTTAAAAATAGGACTGTTACTATTTAAAATTTTTAAAAATTAAAAAAAGGCGCCCTGGCAGGTGTGGCTTGGTTGGGCATCGACCCAAGCACCAGGTTGCAGGTTCAATTCAGTTAGGGCACATTCCTGGGTTGCAGGGTTGTAGGGGGCATGTAGGAGGCAGCCAATCGGTGTTATGCTCTCACATCAATGTTTCTCTCTCTCCCCCTTTCCCTTCCTCTCTCTCTAAAAAATTATTTTGTAAAAAAAGAAGAAGAGGCAGGACAAAGAACAATTTTTACCCATTATGATTTATTCTCTACAATGATTTGCACTCAGAAGTTATATAGCCAAGAGGCAACCAAGTGTAATACGAAGAATTGGTCTGAAGTCCTTGCACTTGAAGGCCATACAAAGTCTCTTGCTTCAGGGAAATAGGGATGAAAATTAACAAAAAACAGCCTACAAGCTCCTTAGGCTCCAGAATCTCAACAGAAAATAACAGTTAGTGATTGTAGGTGTAACATGGAAAACAGATCTTGTGCAAATATTAACACCCAGGACTTCTGTATAGATGATTTTCACTATAAACAATAAAATGTCTCAATGACAAAGCTTTCATGTTGAAAGGGTCTCTAATGTGAATTGCTTTAATATTTATTATGAAGCAAAAACATTTAAGAGCCTCACAGTGGAAACAATCCAACACCGACAAACTCTAGTGATCAGACATTCTCTTTTAATGTAAAACAAACACAATTCATAATTACACAGAGAATGTCCTAGCTGTGGGTATTATGAAACAAGCTAACTTTCCAGACCAAAAGGCACTCACAGCTAGGGATTAAACAAACTCTCAACCAAACCAGCCACATTGGGTTGGTTCCTTGAAAACAGTGGTCACCTACTGTTCAGCTTGAGCAGCCCAAGGACAAACAAAATACCAAGCAAAAAACATCCCTTTCTCCTCACACCTGCCACTCACACATGTACCACCACCCTCATCACCGTGTTGGTTAAGCGTGTGGAAAGCAGTTCAGTTCTAGTTCAGAGCTGTCTTCCCCCTATGCAAAGCTGCCACATGGATGATCCAGACCTAGTATTTTTTCCTGAGAGCCACCTGCCACACATCTTTATGAGGTGACCATGACTGAATACTTCCAGACTGCTTCCTGACTAGGCCCCGTTTAAGATGGACACTTATAGTGCCATTCTTGACAGGGCCAAATAATTTTCCTTGGTCGACTCCTGAGTCCCCTTGACAAGCAAGAGGACCTCGAGCATCTCCACTGCTGGCCCTATATGGAGCGTGAGGCAATGTGCAGGGAGTAAGGCTTCTCCAAGACCACTGAGCCCAATGCAGTGTGGTGGGTTTAACCAGCCAGATTCTGGTGCACTGATTCCCCACCCTCCCATTTTGTGGGTTCAAAAATTTCTGTTCATTTTTTTAAATGGCAGGTATCCTACCCCACCCCTAATAAAATAAAATAACACACTATACATTGGGGAAGACAAATAGGGCAACATTTCTACAAGAAAAAATAGGTTTGAAGAGCATGGCACTGTAAAAGCTTGCATGACCAGTTTCACTGAACATGCTCAGGGATAAAATTTTAGCACCAATTTTTTGTTTTTAACCTTTAGAAATGAAACAACTTTTAACATAGAACACTTGAACAGTAATGAAGTGTAGCCCTATATATCAATACTGTTGTACAAATTGAAGGTGGGTGGTTTAATCCCGAACTGACCACCCTGACATCAATCCATGGCACCTAAAAGGAACTGTCATCATATTTGTAACAAGACATTTATTATTCTCAGCAGCAGGAAATCATGAAACAATCCCTTCATCTTCAATAGCTTTTTTTCATTACCTCTGCAAGGGACAAGTGGCAGGAAGCGAGAATGCAGCCCAGCTTGGGCATCCTGATGTCAGCCCATTGCCCCTGCACACTCCATGGCCTCATGAACAGAGGATGATGCCAAGCAAGTGTGCCCACCTTTATTCATCTCTCCCAAGAAATGAGACAGCTATGCCTGAAATAGCATGTGTCATTTCTTAGACTGTGTCCCTGCCCAGCCCCCACCCACAATTCCTGGCAGAAGAAAACTCAAAAGATCTTTTGGCTTGACTACTTGCCCATTCTGGAAAGCCACACCATCTCCACATAAACTTTTAAAAATAAATTAAAAAACATTGTGTCCACCAGGTTGACATCCAATCCACTTCACGAGTTCTCTAAGCATGTTGTTGAAAAACAGTATATTGCCCTTAGGGTCTTTTCTTCCAACTGGCCACCTCTCCCAGTGCAGTGCCTCTGTTACAATGTTTCCAAAGCATCTTCTAAGTCTTCAGCTTCTATAAACTCTGCCACCAAATGAGTGAAGAGTAGGCAAGAGGGAAGAGAAACTTGCCGACAGCTATTTAGAGTCAGCAGCAATGGGAAAGGGAAATATGCCACATGAAACACTGCATGACCTAGAATAAAATGAGCTATTTGGAACTCTGCCCTGTGGGGTGAAGATTCCCAGTATATCAGGCAAGATAACGATTCACCTTCTTTAATTACACAGCTTTGTTCTAAAATCCTGTAAAGGACTAAATCATCAACTGTCTTCTCACTTCTACAGGGAAACTAGAAAGAGGAACTTCTCTGCTTTCAAGTCCCTCAAAGATGTTTGCCTGAAAAGAAAAAACAGCTTGGAGACCCTGGATTCTCTCCTGTGACAATGTGTCTTTCTAAAGCCCAACCCAGATGCTTGTTTGAACATCCGTCTTCTAGATGCAGCTATAGGCACTGCTACCAGTAGGAGTGAGGTAGCCGGGTGTAAGGAAGAGGTCTCTCCTTTCACACTGCATGCAGCAATGATGTCAGGACCTCCCGCAGGCATCCCAGTTCATTCCTCAGGTTACACCACAGAGCTCTCTGTTCAGTACCAGGAGACGCAATGCAAGAAGAGTGCCAGAAAATCCAACTGATAGTAGGGTTAGAATTAAAACCTTCGAGGTTGATTGAGCAATGAGATCTGCCACGCCATCCAAAGGGCTTTCGATCTTGATGTGGGTCTCTGTCCAGGAGCCTCAAAGGACTCACAGTCCCCACGTTCAACCCCCACATGGCGTCCACTTATGAAGCATGGAGGTTGTAATCAACTGTTGGTATGCAATAAATGGGAGTTTAAAAAAAGGAATTTAAAATAACCTAAAAATGTTTCTTGTTGGTCTCCGTTGCCCAGACTGCCAAGGGAATACATCTACTTGATCTGGGGAAGCTATAAGGGAGCATGTGGGGTAAGCCTTCAGGAATCATGAATTCCAGCTTCCACTGTGTAGCCAAAAAACAGACAGCCATGTGCATGCCGAGGGTCTTCTGAACCCACACAGCAATTCTCACTAGTCATGGAGGAGCCCCAATCAAACAGAACCCCATAATGAGGAAAGGCTAAGATAAGGCTTGGGCCCCTCAAGTTCTGTTTCATTCAATATA